TTTTGCTACTTGTTTCGTTTTTAAGGGTTGACAAATCAGAATGTCTAGTTAGTTACTGTTTATACAGTTTTTCCTAGAACATAAACCCCATATAATTTGAGAATCAGCTCATCTTATTCGCTGACCCTTTTCTTCTTCTGTGTCATTCCAGCTGCCTTATTGCCTGTCACCTGGCCACCTCCATAAAACAGGGTCATTGAATTGATTGAGGGCAAGATTAGAGAAGTAGATTAGAAGTTTCAATGTGCATACATAGTATGCCACTAACACCCTGCTATACAAATAAAAGGTATTATTACTACTTGCCCTTAGACGCTTTTCAAGAGATCATGAAGAAACACCCTCTAGGGTTCCAAGTTAATGATGTCTTAAGATGCTTAGAAGGCAGTGGGTTTTATAAGCAACCCATGTTGGGTTCTCTCTCTACTTGGTTGAAGCCATTTTTCTGGTTTTACTTACCTGAATCTCTTAAGTGTTTGACTTCATTGCAAAGCCAGACTAAATGGAATTAGGAAGAAATGGAGAGATACCAAATTAATTTAATTTGTGTTGCACTTTGCTCATACCTGTGTGTGTATGTGGGTATCCATGGATGTGCCTGTTTGACTATAACTAGTAGGAAATAAAGTTTAAAGATCAAGTCAGTCTTCAGCAAAAAGTAAATGAGCGTTCAAATGTCTTATACTGTTTTGATGGGACCCTACTGCAGTGGATTTTATGTTCAATTAATGCAATTAACATTTAGAAGGAATTCTTTATCTGAATATAAAAAGACTGCTTTATTGAAGTTGACTCTGAGCCCACAGTAGGTAAATACTTTAAAATTTGGTTTTATGATCATGTTTCACTGGAGTGCTGTTAGACAACAAAGGAATTTTGTTGTCTAACTTAGTTGGGCTGTAACAATTAGAATTGCAAAGTCTACAATGAATTTGGTGTGATTATTTTGAAAACAAAAACAGAAAAATTAATTTTTTTAGGCACATGCATGCTATTTGCACTGGGAATAACTTCTACAAATATAATTTTAAGCACTTGAAACATTTTATTGTTCAAAAAATAGTTGCTGACTTCATCACAACTATAAGCCTAGTAAAAACAGAGCCCGGAATAGTAAACTAGTTCAGAGCTGAGGCAGAAACAGGTAACTTCTGACCTCTGACTTTTACTGGAAAATGATATGCAGCATAAATCCAAGGGGCCTTTTTTCTTTCAAGTGTGTGTATGTATACGTTACGGTGTTGCTGTTCACAGTGCTATAGTTAAGGCAGTGTCAGCACTTTCAATATAAAGCCTTACTTTCATGATTTTACTTACACTATAAGTTTTCAAAAAGGTGTAAATGGAATCTAAATTCTTTTTCCTGTAGCCTCAAATTGCTACATGTAGTCACAGCCTAGCGTTTTGTTTGCTTCTTTTCTTCTTCTTTTCTGTTTGTTTGCTTCTTTTTTTCATTTCTTACTTTTTAAAACTTCTATTATCTAAGTATAAGCATGTAGTTTAGCTGCCGCACTGAAGGCTTGCAAACTGCTGAATAATTTTAAATTTTCTTGCATAAGTTTTCTCAAATGTAATCTGATAAGAGGATTTTCAAAGGGCAAATGCCTAATACCAATTCTTCCCATCTGATATACCATAACAAGGAATTAGGAATTTTGTATGTTTCTTTTTCCTTTAAATGTTCTCCAACAGCCTATTTCATAATGAATTTGATTGTAACCAGGTGCCATATATTCTTCACATTACTAATTTCCCACTTAGAATGTTCCTCTTTTTCTTTTTTCTCTTTATATTTTTATATTTAAGAGCCCCATCTAGTGTTTTTTTTTTTTTTCTAAAGCATTTTTACATAAATTATCCCATTTGAATGATCTCAGTTGAACCACTTTAAAACAATCCTGGGTGGCAGATAAAGAAGGTCTAGTCCCATTTGACAGATGAAGAAGATAAGGTATGGATAAGTCGAGTGATTTGTCCAGGTACTAGTGCAGCATCAGACCTGACATTCCAGTTTCCTGATTATGTATGTAAGGTTTTTTTAATCCTTCCTTCTTTCCTCATCTCTCCACCAGAGAACTAAAGTCAATGACTTCCCAAATAGAAACTTTCTGTGCTGATTTCCCCTTTCCATCCCTCCCCAGCATGGTAACAGAGGCGGTGGGGGCCACCCCTTTAGTCTTCCTTGTAGGTTTTCTTTGGCAGTGAGATTTATTCCTGCTAGATGCGGAAGGATGCTTAGAAGTGTTGCTGCCACAACTTATGCACATTTCCATGCCAACCATGACCCTTCTAAACCTTTTTTTCATCCCTGAAACCTGTGGAGCTGGATCTTTGTGCAGCCTTCGGATTAACTGTGCACAGTGGCTTTTCCATGTTTTCCCTGTCTGCCTTTCCTGGCAGGCATGGATGTGTAAGCTGTGCCAGTGTTTGGCCTGTAGCACATGTCCTAAATAGTTATTTACACAGTTTGAGTCCATTTTAGTCAACTGGGTAAATAACAGCCCTCTTCAAAAGATTTATAAATCCATAAATATGTCTTTATATATACCCAATAGACAGAAATAACTCAATCTGCCAAGAACATATCCAAAGAGGTGTTTCCCCCACAGACAGGAATAATACATATTTTAAAACTTTCTCTACTGTATTATTTGTACTGTGTTTCTTTTTCTTCATTCCTTTTCAATTTTTACCACTTCATTATGGCACCTGTGATACAAAAAGAAAGAAATACCCTAGGCTTTGGCCCTCTGTTAAATAACCTTATCTGCAGCACAGTATAGGCATGTAACAGGCTATATATAGAGATATATTAACTGAGTCCTATTCTTTTGGACTTTCAAAGTAAATAAAATAAAATAGGTCATCCAGGAAATTTTTAATGTTCTGACAGATTTCAAAATACAGTAGTAGTTCTTGGTTAGAATTCTAGCAATTTGGGGAATTTTGAGTGCCTGATAATTTGCCAGTTAGTAGCTGTTGTGACTGATAAAATAGTTTTAGTACAAATTTTTACCTAGGCATAAAAAATGAGATACAAAATCTAATCCTGAGCATTCTAAAGAGAGTATATATAAGGTCTATAATTAGGAAAATACTAAAGATATTATTTTTCAGGGATTTAATGCTTTTTAATGATTCACATAATATATCTTTCCCCCAGCTAATATTATTTATCATGACATCTCTACCTATGATGGCTTCGTTCATTTAATATTAACACTCGTGGCGCCTTGCAAGAAATTAAGTCTTCGATAGTGAAGCCTCTTTAAATTGGCATTAAAAAGGGAGGGCCTCACATCTGTGTTTGGTTGAGCATTCTGCTGTTGTTGGTATGACATTGGTTATGTGCACTGTTTAACTTCCTCTAAGTATTTTCAAAGATATTAGATTGAATTCTTATTTTATCCCTGTCAATGATTGCTATTTTCCCATTTCACAGGAGAAGAAAGTAATAGCTCAGAAATACTGAAGAGTGAATAGCTGTCAGAGTTGGCTCTAAGATGTTGACTTTGTAACTACTTTAAGACAGGGTGTTTTGGGGATTCCCAAGTTGTGTCTCATAATATGAGGTGCCCACTGGCAGATAAGTATGTCTCTCATGTGTCTTTTTATCCTACTGTGCGTGGCTGCCCTCCTGACCATAATCAGAGCCTGCTCCAGGAAGCGTGTGGTTTAGAGGGCGAGAACATCAAACACATTGGGTCTCTTACCCGGAGATGTGTCCTCCTTTCCAGGAGGGCCTCCACAGCCACTCTGTGCCTTGTAAGCAGCCCTAGCTTTGACTGCCCACATTTTGAATTTGGGCATGTCTCCCTTTTTGATTCAAAGTCAAGAAAGCTGAATAAATGATAGTAATAAAATAATTAGACTATTAAGAGCTGTCAGTCAATACAGGTATTTCTACACCGTTGCTTTGTGAGTGAGCTCACAGAGGCTCAGAGAGGCAAGGGGCTTGCCGGAGGCCACATACTGGTTGGTGGTCCAGTTGGGATCTGGACCCATGCAGTGTGACTCTCGAGCCCATGCTCCTAACTACCAGGTTTTATTTGATATGGTACTTTAGTGTGGCTTAGGACAGGAAAAACAGATCACTGGACAGACATTCCTTCTGTTACCAGTTCTACAACTCTTTTTCCTGCGGTCTTTACTGGGCCTGGTGCTGTGCTCTGTATGGTGACATAACTATGAATAAGACAGAATCAGCCTTAGACTCAGGGGGGCAGACCTCTGCTGGGGAGTGAGAACCTAGTTGTGCGTGCTAAGTAGAATGATGATTGAGGTATTTACAAAGGGAGCATGATGATTGATATGATTAATTTGTATTATGTATTAAGAGCCTATATCATTTTAGTCATTCAAAGAGTTATTGAATTGAGAATAGGCACATAGAAAACAAGTAAGGATATTCATCTTGCAGAACATTTCCCACTTAAAGCTCATCTTATTTTCCTCTTTTGTGAGGATAAAGAAAAAGTATTATTTTTATGTCAAAATTTGATATAAAACATTTCAACCCTAAAGAAGTTTAATGGTTGCTGGAAACTCTAAAACCCACTTGGGAACTTCTCCTTTTGGGGCCAGCACTCAGATCAACAATAGTACCACCAAAAAAAGAAAAAGCAGCATGTTTCTTTAAAGAGGAATAATTGAAAAGCACTGCTATTTCTTTCTAATAACGTATCAGTAGTTACAATGCCTCCCACTGCCCCATCCCCCTCCACGCCAGCTTTTGTATGAGTTCAGGCAACCTATAGGCAGAAGGCAATTCCATTTATTATTGAGGGGAATCTCAAGGCAGTTGCTGCAGACCTGTGAAGCCAGCAGGCAGAGCTGCCTGGGAGGGGGTGGGGGGCGACGGGAGAGGGAGGTGGGGAAGGGCCACATTATGTTCCAGATGACTGAGCAACGATTTATATACCAGCTCGCCTTTTTACATGAAGAAGAAAAGTAATAACAGCCTAAACCCAGGCATTT